TGCTTTTGTGTGCATGAGTGTGTATGGAGCAGAGTGAGTGTGGTATATGCAAACTTGTGTGTTCAAGAACAGGCTAGTGCACACAGACTCAAGGCCAGAGAAGATTATCAAGGTGTTATGTTCTATTGCTCTCCATCTGTTTTGCCTTTTGACCGCAAAACAAAAATCTATGTTAAGTGCCTGGACAGAGTGGCTACCAGTTACTGCAGATTTAATAACCGCCCTTGAAGAACCTGGCAGGCGACCCTACTGTGCACACTCTTCCTGAACAGCGTTTTGCAGCGGACTTCCAGGCTCTCCTCTGATGCCTCACAGGATGACTGGCGGGAGATGTTACTCAGCTCCCTAATTAGGTACTGATAATTTGCCTACTAGGTGAAACAGCCAAAATTTGAATCCAGGGTCCCCGGGATTATATCCACACTCTTTTAATCTCCCCAAATTACCTCTCTCTTCCTACTAAGAAAACACATGAGTTAACTCAGTTAAAATCCAGAAGGTTAAGCTAGCAATTGTAGGTAAGTGAGTGCTCTCACTGGAAATTTGTTTTCCCCTAGAGCTTTTAAGCCAAGTGTAAATTGACTATGTGCTTAGGAATTTTCCAGCCCAGACAGACTGAAACAATTAGACAGGGGGCCAACTAAGAGTGAGAGAGGGAGACAGACCCCAGGCATGAGCCCACATTCCTTTCAAAAGCTTCCCTTCATATTCTTTCTCGATTGGCTGAAGCCCTGGAGGTTTGCCTGGCTGAACCACTTCCTCTCAGAAGTGGCTGTCCTCTGAGGGAACCTGGGATTTGTAGTCTTCAAATCAGGTGACCTTTCATAATCCTTTAGAGGAACCACGCTAAAGGCATGCCGTATCCATTTCAGTAGCCCTCCAGTGATGAAATGCTCAATGCGTGTTTTCACAAATCACAAATTCCTCCTTGAATAAAAGTGAAGGCTCTGTGTGTTCACCATAACCCCACTCCCCCCCCCCCAGTCTGCACCTTGTCTCTCCCAGTCTCCATAGGCACTCTACCTCTCTGCTGAGTTCTAGACACAAGCCCCCACTGCTGATGACATAGAGGAACCTCTGCGAAGAGGCGGACCACAGCAAGACACAGCATGCTGGCCGTACAGCACAGGCCACGCTCACAGGCTGACTCCCCAAGCACAGTCTTTCCAAAGGATGCCTTTCCATCAGTTTTCAAAGCAACATGTTTGCATGGTGGTTATTAATAAAGGAACACTAGAGAAAGCAGTATGTGACAGCAAGAACTGAGAGTCTAAAACGTCTCATAGAAAGCAGGCTGGAGAGATGGTGGCTCAACCATTAAGGGCACTTCCTTCAGAGGACCTCGATTCAGTCCCCAACATGCACATGGTGATTCATAACAGCCATAACTCTTGTCACAGGGACCTAGCACCCTTCTTCTGACCTCCATGAGCACTGGGCACTCATGTGGTACACTTACATACATGCAGGTAAAACACTCACATACATAAAATGAAGTAAGATAAGGAAATCTAAAAAATTTAAGAACAAAACAAAACAAAAAAACCCCAAACCGTTTGTACCTTGGAATTTGAAGGGTACTGGTTTCAGAAAGTCACAGAGATACCCAAACCTTGGGATGCTCAAGTCCCTTGTATACAAATGGCATGGTGCTGGCATATCATTTATGCATATTTAAATCACTCTAGATTACATCTATTGCTTAATACAAGGTAAGGACAGTGAAAACTGTTACACTGTAATATTTAGGGAATGATGAAATATTATATATTTTATGTATTTATAAATATTATGTAGTAGTAAAATGATATTTAGAGATTAAGAGAAATGCCTGTACATGTTGAATACAGATGCAATTTTTAAAAGCTATTTTTGATCTGTAGTGGGTTTTTAAACTCTCCACGTGGCCCTGCTTGGGATGAATGGATTTACCTTTCTTCCTTGGCATCAGGTTCCTTCTCTCTCACTTGGTCTCGACTACAGGTATTCTGTTTGTGGAGCTACACTTCGTGTTTTACCCATGGATTAAACAATCATGCTGCACTCTTTCCCCAATGAGTGCAGGTATTATGGGTTAGATGCAGCAGCGATCACTTTAAATGTTCCTAAACTTTTAGTGGGTTTTGACTCCTACAAAATGTCTCCAAGTAACTGATATTGAAAATACAACATGAGAAAATGGAAGTCTCTGCCTTACGTTGAATATATGTGCCTCCCCTTTCCCTGTACAATTCATACGTTGAAACCTGCTCCCCGATGCGTGGATATTGGGAAGTGGGCCTTTTGGGAGGTGACTAAGTCATAAAGAGGAGCTCTCATGAATGGGACTAGTATCCCTTATTTAAAAAAAAAAAAAAATCCCAGAAAGCTGTGTGAGAGGACCGTGAGAAGGTGCTACCTGTGAAATCAGGAATGAACAGTGAGCCGTCACCACCCCACAAAACACCAAATCTACTGACACTTTAATATTAGACTCGTGGCCTCTCGAGCTGTGAATACCGTATTTCTATTGCGTATAAGCCACCCAGCCTACGGTAGTTTGTTATAGCGTCTCAAGTCGACTAAGACGTCCACCTACCCTGAAGGACTTTGGTCCGGCTCACAACTGAGGTGGGGTTGGCGTGAGATGATCAGTTCGCATTGGGATACTCACAGGCTTGCTGTGCCCTGTCTGCTTTGCTGTCTATCAGGCATTGCAGGTTTCAAGGGACAAGTGCGCAACGGTCAAGCGGGGGCAACACTTCAGATTAGCGGGCAGGGTGACAAAAGTGCCTGTTTGATGTGGGGGCCGCAGGTGAGCTGAACGTCTGCGAGCTGGCTGAGAAGGTTCATTCTGGGCATCGCCGGAACTAAATGTCAGAGTCCTCCCTCAGCGAATGCTTGTGGGGACGAAAGGGCTGATCCCACTGGAGTGAGCTCCCTTCTGGAGTGTGGAATGAACCGCTGTGAGACAAGCGGAGTACAGGATTGCAACCACTTTAGTGTCGCAGGCTTTGTGTAGGAAACAAACCTCTCGAGAGGGTTAACTATGGGCTGGAGGAATGGCTCGGGAATTAAAACTGATCACCCTCACAGAAGACAAAGGTATGCTTTTCCGCATCCATGGTGGGCGTCTCAGATGTCAATCAGCTCATAGCTGCCTGCAACTCCGGTTTTAGGGGTTTCTACGCCCTCTTCCAGCTTCTGTGGGTACCAGTATATATACATGTGACACACATGCACACATAAAGGTACATACACACCTACATGTAAAATAGATTTTTAAAGGGTGAACTAGTGGTGTGAGCACCCTGTTTTTATAGCAGTGAAACAGGAATATATGTGTCCTAGCTTTCTCTAATAGCACTTCATGTATTTGAATACTGATGTGAGAACGCTTTAGTTGACTCTAAGCACGCCTAGATTTTCTCATTTCTTTCTATGCTGAGCCATACTGCCAATCTTTGTTCTTTTCTCTGTTAGAAGGCACTAGTGAGTCCATATATGAAAACAGATATATGTGTTCATTTCACGAATGATGCAATATATAGAAAAAAGAAAGAACAGAATATCAGCTTTAATATATTTTTATATCACCTTCTAAACTCTTGTCTTTTTGTTCATAATAAATGATTATTTTTCCCCTGGATGCATGGGTTCCAGGACCACTTAAAGACACAAAAATCCATGGATGTCCAAATCCTTTATTTAAAATGGCACAGCATGTACACACATGTTCTCTCAATATCTTCTAAATCATGTCTAGATAGTGTATGATATCATGTGTAAGGCAAACACTTTGTAATTGGTTGTTATAATACATGATTACGTAACAATGACAATAAAAAGAGTCTTTATATTCAGGAAAGATGCAACTATTTATTTATGTATATGGGTATGTGTCTGGGCATGTGTATGTTATGTGTGTGCAGGTGTCTGAGGAGGCCAGAGGAAGGCATCAGATCCTTTGGGGGCTAAAACTGTACTCAGTTGTAAGTCACTCCTAAATGAGCCCTGGGAACCAATAATCATAACTCATCTCATTTTCTTCCGGTGGACCTACTTGAAGTTACTTTAGGAATTACTCTGTGTGAAGATCATAGGTTACAAACTTCTTTAAGGGGTTTCTAGAGTTACTAATTCTGTGAGAGTCCTTGCAACAAAGTCTTGTTCTAGTCTTATTCATCTTTGTGGCAAAACAGAGGAACAAGTTCCCTAACATGGAAGCCACTGGAAGCAAGCATCTCTATTGGGCCAAAAAACAGAGCTAGAGAGTCTACATAAAACAATAGTGTAGAGCTGAAAGGAAGCTAGACTCTCATTCTCTGCTGCAACATCAGGTCACCTTTTTGGGTAGAACAAGTCAAGTGGACCAGGCCAGGTCCTGGAGAGAGCTGCTACAGGTTCCTTGGATATGATTTACCCATGGCCTTGTGTCTCACTTACAAAGGCCACAGAGATCTAAACAGCTTAGAAAAGGTTGACTGCATCATCATTAACAACAGTTGGAAGCCCACTGACATGGTGTCTTCCACTGTACCGCAGCACTTGCATTTGGAAAATTATGGATGGTACAAGAAACAAGTAGGCAATTTTTTCCTCAGGTCCGAAGAGATACCTCTGTGGAGGTATAAAAATGTGGTGTGTGAGCCTGACGACCTGAGTTTGATTTCTGGAACCCATGTGAAAAGTCAAACTTGGAGGTGTACACCAATGATCTCAGTATCCTCATGGCTACAGGGGAGGTGGGGGCAGGAAAGCTAACGGGAAGCCAGTGGAGCAGCTGGCCTGAAGTCCACAGAGTGGGAGGTGAGAGAGCCTGCCTCAAAAAAATAAGGTGGAAGGAGAGAACTAACTCATACAAGTTGTCCTCTGACCTCTACATGTGTGCTATGCCATACTCACACAAACACACACACACACACACTCACACCAATAATAAAGATAACTTCCTTCCGGGAAAGTCTTTGATCTGGCAGTAAATAAGAAAACAACGTCATCAGTTCTGAGAGAAGAAGAAGGCACAATTTATTAAGGTCAAATTATTTTACAATGTGGTCTTCATTGGACAGTTGTCAGCCTAACACTTTATATAGTTTTGAAAGTCACGATTACCTGAAAAATTATATATATTTTCACATCTAAAAATATATTGCATATATAAAGCAGGAGAGCCCCTCGTGTGCACGAGGCAGAGTGTGTTTTTTCTTACCAGGTTATTGCAGCTCTGTTATTTACAAACACTTCTAAAGCACTGTAGATCTAGATGGATCTTTTCTCTTGTTTGGGCAAGCTTGTTAAATAACTTCAGCACTGCTTTTCTTCCTAAGAACTCAGGGACTTTTAACTCCCCGCTTTCTTTTCATCAATAGTCACATTATGCTTATTAAAAAAACCCAGCTATAAAAAAGTACAAATAGCCCAAATGTACAGATTGACAAAAGATGTACAAATTATATTTAAAAAAATAACAATGATCGATTTGATAGTAAAACTGCATTTGTGACCGAGGTCAACTCGTTTATTTACTCTTTAATTTTTAATTACTTATTTTTTTTAATACTGTGAGATATAGGAAAATAACTCTGCATAATTTATACAGTTAGTTGCCTTCTGATTGGTTGACCGCGGTCTGGTGGTCTGACAAACGCACAGCGCTTGCGAATCTGTCTGAGTTTAGAAATCCCTATGACTTTTCAAAGTTCTGGGACCCACTGTCATTAAAAAAAAAATAGTTATTTAACCCTCTGTTCTTCACGAGTGTCTGTGTTTGTATTAAACGTTCTTAGTTCATATCCTGACTATTCCTGGAGGGAATGGTCAGGCAAACTCATATTGCCCATTGCGAGGGGTTTTGTAATACTCATGGCTTCTTAAATACACACATACACACACATCTTTCTTAGAAATTCCAGTTGGGCAAAAACTTGACCGGCCTCATGGCCAGTGTTCCAGTTGCCATCTGCTGAATTCAGTCCTCCTAAGATCATAAACATTCTGCCTTGATTTTCAATGTCTTAAACCAGATCATTCCTGGTCAAGTCCATGATTCATTATTCTATGGAATCCTACAATGATGAGACCCGTGTGCTGATAAGAAACTACTTTGGTCATAAAATATATATATATATAAAATGTATACTTCTTTCTCAGAACCATGGTATAACCGATCCAGTAACCTAAATATCTAACTCGTTAGATGATAGGTGGGTGAGAATCCAAGCTGGTGTACTGGCCCATGGAATGATACTTTTCTTTCTTTCTTTTTTTTTTTTTTCAGGTAGAGGAAGCAAAAGTTTTTAAACATAAAAATAATCATTCTTAAAAGAACAAATGCAAAGGTTCTATCCAAAAGAAAGAACATCCAGTTTTCTTGTCTCTTCAAGGCTACTTATGTCCTTCAGAGTCCAGAATATCCAGGAAAAAAAAAAAAAAAAAAAGTAAGGGCTGGAGCTTCAGCCAGAAGGCCACTGATGTTAAGTTCTAGTAGTAGCTGCCTAAGTGTGAAGGCACATGGGTGTTAGGATGGCGGGGGACACTGGGGTTGGGGTAGATCCCAGCAGTGGGGGAGGTCCAGTATTGGGATGCTGCTCCGAAGAAGCTGGAAGAGGTGACAGGCATGGAGGAGGGGTGGGGAGGGACAAAGTTCACCTTCTGTTGATGGGCGTGGTAGGAAGGCATGTAGGAGATATCGGAAGGGTACTTGTACATGGATGACTCAGTCGGATGCGGCTGCAGGGCCTGGGCAATGCCGTGGAAGTCGAATTTGTAGGCATACCTTTTGCCATGAACTTTGGTCATAATGTTTTTATCATAGTAATATCGGAGGGCCCGGCTCAGCTTGTCGTAATTCATGTTGGGCTTGCTCTTCCGCTCTCCCCAGCGCCTGGCCACCTCATCAGGGTCCGTCATTTTGAACTCCCCGTTGGTCCCCTCCCAGGTGATACAGCTGGCATTGGCGCTGTCAGACAGGAGCTCGAGGAGGAACTGCCACAGTTGGATCTGCCCACTTCCTGCAGGCAGTGAGGAAACAGGAAGAAAGTGGTCTCAGTGCTGATTCTTAAACATGGCAATGCTTGCCCTTTCTATGAAACCCGTTTTTTGGCCAGGCATGGTGGTAGCGCACACCTTTAATTCCAGCACAGGTGGATCTCTGTTAGTTCGAGGCCAGCCTGGTCTGAGTCCAGTTCAGCCAGGGCTACACAGAGAAACCTTGTCTCGAAAAACTAACAAACACCCAACCAAACAAAAGAAACCCCCCCTTTTTTTTTCTCTTATGTCAGAATCATGGAGACAACTCATCTTTCCTCTTTAGAAACTAAAAATGGCACATACTAATTGTACATCTTTACAAGGCATAGGGTGATATTTTAACACGTGTACACAGTGAGTGGTGATCACAGTGAGCTAATTTGCATGCCTATCACTTCAAATGATCACTCATCATCAAAGATCTTCTCATTTAGCTAGTTTGAAAGGTACAATAAATACTGTTAACTCTACTGCTTGAACACATCAAGCAAAGTTAGACCTTAAGACAGATTGTTTCAAAAATTGGTTGATAAGGGGTGTTGGCTTTGTCCTAGCTGCTATGATTTCAGGGAAGCCAACTCTCCACATCTTCTTGGTAAGAGTTTTGACTCTCTCTTTCTACATAGACCTGAGTCACTATCTGATTTCTATTTAGTACTGAAATCCCTCAAGATATTCCCCATTGGCCTTAAAATATGTCAAGCAACCCAGAACCTCTTAGGGGTGGCTGTAGGGAGCAGCGGGGAGAAGGCACCTTGTGGAATTAGGATTCACTAAGCTGGGCTGTTCCCCAGCAGTGTTTTAGTGTATGGCTTTTAGTGTTAAGTTTTATACAGAAGAATGTGCGCAGAGGTAAAAAAATAACAGGAGGGGATGCTGGGTGGCTCTTTATCTTCTGGGTAAAGATGGTCCAGCTCTAGAGCAGGGAGGAGGCCCCGGCAGCTTGTGCTCCCTGCATGCTGCAGGTACAGCAGGCATGTGTGCCTGGCCTCTGTTGCCTTAAGCTCCCAATGGTTTGGATTTAGAAGAACACATCTGAGAGTTATTTTTAATAGCAAATCCTTAACACATTGTCACGTTCACTTCATGTGCAACTCTTTAGGGACACACTTCTATTTAGGAGGCTGGATAACTACAAGAGGCAAATCAAAGCCACAACGCTTGGGGGCAGTTATCCAGGAGCCCTGTATGAGGAGTAACTGAGAGTATCTTTCCTTACTGGAACTTCTATCTCGGTCATTTACCATGAACACAAACCTATGTACAGAGATGCAGTTTGTTCTCCAGAAATATCTTCTGGCAATGGATGCTGCTCCCCACTAACAGGCTGCAGCTCCTGTCTGCGTGCAATTGAACATCTGGCTAAGGAAGCACATACAGCCCTTAGACAGGTGTCTGGACTTGGGATGAAGACTCCTGTGACCTTACAGACATAACGAACATTCTGGAAAGAGAGGCTTGCAAGCCAAAGTTAACTTACCAGGGTTGGCAAGGCGGCTGCTGGTTGGGCCCAGGATCTGATAAGGATCTTAAAAAGAAAATAAAAGATGTTTGCTTCACTCCTCATCAAACAATTTGACAGCAGCAGCAAGATGAAGGAAACCTCAGTGGGTCCTACTTTTATCTCAGGGTCATAGGAAAACTTTGTTAAAGACCATAACCACAGTTATGTCTCAATCAACATGGAATAATAACAGCGCCATTTCTTCATATTTCGTTTCTAAACCTTTAGATTATGCTGCCACCACCCCAAACAAAATCACCCACACATTTGAAAAGGAGCTGGCTAATATTCAACCATGCAGTGAGTAAACTGAATAATTGCTCATTAAACAGGCTTAATTTAAGGGCGGTCCCACAGTGATCATTAGCCATTAATAGCCCTTTCGAATGCTGAAGACATTACACATGCCTGAGTTTTCTGGTGGGCCATAAAAACTGCCTGGAAGCCTGGGTTCTAGTCCCAGCTATATCATGAACCAAGTCCTGTTTTGAACAACCTCTGCATTTCAGTCTTCACAGCTACAAACACATAAGGAAGAGGTTAAACATCTGAGCCAGGTACCTGGCTGGGGTCTTTGCTCAGTGTTCTTGCCCATGGCCTGTGCTCCTCCAAGGGGAGGACCTGTGGAGAAATTAAGGAAAGGTGGTAAGCGGGTTTTCTTCGTTGGGCAGGAAAATGTTCTTGTCACATATCCCTCAGAAGAAGGGCACATGAGCTGCCATGTACCCACTGTCCCATTGACTCATGCATTCCCTTTATTTATGAATACTTTTCACATTGTTACGCCGGCATTGGTCTCCAGGCAAGTTCATTAGCAAGGAACTTATGTTTTAACCAAAGAGACAACACAGAACAATGCCTGCTGCTAGGGGCTTGTATGGTTCATTTGAAAAGTAGGACCTTGAGCTGGGGGATGGCTCAGTGGTTAAGAGTGTTTGCTGCAGAAACGTGAGGATATGAGTTCAGATCCTGAGCATCCATATACAAAATCTTGATGCAGCTGTGTGCTTCTGTAACCTCAGCTCTAGGAAGAGGGAAGTGCTGGCAGAGACAAGAAGAATGCTGAGGCTGGAGGCTTGCTGGACAGACAGTCTAGCTGAGAAATGGTGAGCACCAAGGTTTAGTGAGAGACTTAGTCTCAAGGGGACAAGACAGAGAGTGACAGCCAATGTCTTTCTTTGGTCTCCATATGTTTGCAGGGGTGCGTGGCCACATATGTGCCCTGCAAAATGCACACATGTGTTCTCTCTCTCTCACACACACAATTCCACTCTGAACACACATGGATAGAGAAGTAAATAAATAGGCTCTTTACAAAGGTCTCTCCTGAGAAAGTGACATTTGAGCAAAGATCACCTGTTCCCTGTCATACTGTGTTTTGTGAGAGCCCCTCACAGGTGTCTTACATATGCCCCTCTGGCTTCTCCAGTTTGAATGTGTGTTGCTTTTTGTGTGGTCTGTGGATTGGTGTGACTGGCGTCCTCACACTTCTCTCTTCCTGCTGACCCATCATACTGTACAGCACTTCAGTGACTCCTTGTAACTAAAGAGCTGAGGTCTAGATTTTTTTGGTTCTGTTGCTCTCCTTGTGGAGTTCCCGTCCTCTCCAGATCTGTTTCCCACTTCTTTCCTAAGATTCCCTGCACTCTGCCCAAAGGTTTCCCATAAGTCTCACTATCTACATTGATAGTCTGCAGGGCAGAGTTTTTTAGAGGTCCTCTGTGTCAGGCTCCTGACTTGTTCCCTCTTTTCTCCTTCTTCTGATGTCCAGCCTCTTTGCCTTTCTGGATAGGAATTGAGCGTTTTAGCAAGAGTCCTTCCTCTTGATTAGCTTCTTTAGGTGTACAGATTTTAGTAGGTTTATCCTATATTATATGTCTATATGAGTGAGTATATACCGTGTGCATCTTTCTGTTTCTGGGATAGCTCACTCAGGTGATCTTTCCTGAGACTTATATTCCAACCAAGGACTATACATGGAGATAACCTAAAACCCCTGCACAGATGTAGCCCATGGCAGTTCAGTATCTAAGTGGGTTCCATTGTAATAGGAACAGGGACTGTCTCTGACATGAACTGATTGGCCTGCTCTTTAATTACCTTCCCCTGAGGGGAAAGCAGCATTACCAGGCCACAGAAGAAGACAACACAGCCACTCCTGATGAGACCTAATTGACTAGGATCAGAAGAAAGGAAAAGAAGTCCTCTTCTATCAGTGGACTTGGGGAGGGGCATGCATGCAGAGGGTGGAGGAAGGGAGGGATTTGGATGGGAGGAGGGAAGGAACGACAAAGTGAATAAAGTGCAAAAAAAAAAAAGATCTGAGGTCTATTTTCACAGTATCAATCACTATCCTTTTCTTATCTCTCATCCACCACACATCATAAACTCCAGGAACCTGTGTTCCTCACCTTCAGACATGCCACCATGGTCTTCCCTGACATCCACCTCCCCAGGCTTACCAGTCTTCTCCTGCTCCCTAGACCAAAGTGTGGCCTGTCTCTGTAGTTCTAACTCAAATGATAGCATGTGTGCAGGCATTCCTCAGCACCACCCAGATGAAAAGAGTTATGTATGTACATGATTTCTCTCTCCTGCCTAAATAACTGGTCTTTGCCCATCTCATCATCTTTGTGAGTCCCATAGAGCCACATACTGCATGCAGAATGAACAAATACTGCAGACTCATAACTGAAATAGATTCCGGTTATCACTTATACAATCACAACCTCATTCTTAAAATAATTTGCTTTACTTCTCTCTCATTTCCCTAAAGTTTTACTTCTTGGATACAGTAAGATGGACACATTGGTTGAGGAGTAAATGGCTGTCTTTCATTATCCCTTAATGGAAGATACTGTGTGGATTTCAGCAAATCATCAGCTCATCATTGTTGTTCAAGTTAATGTCTGTGACACACCACATCTCCTCATAGGTTATCCTTCATGTCAGTTTCTCTAACTGGGGCTAGGGACACTGGCATGACTAAGCCTTGTCAAGCAGAGAATCCAGGTTCTAGAGATTAACTGTCCTGACTAAAATAACAAAACCCAGACCAGCTGCTTTTCTTTCATGAATCAACTTGCCCCAAGAAATCTTCAAAACTTTTAAGTTCTAAAACCAAGTGCATCACAACAAACCTCAAAAGTCTGAACAGCCCCTGCAAATTCACACTGATCTCTGATTAGGCAGCTTGGAGACAAAGGCTTGTTCCTAGTGTGTGTCTCATGACCCTATTCCCACATCCTAACTTCTGGCTCTCAGAAAACATTTTACTCCCAAAGAATGATTTGCTGTGTACTTACTTTTGTTGAGGCCAGAGTTCATGTTATTGCTCCATCCTCCTCTCCTGGCAGAGTCATAAGAAGGGTCTATTGAGAAACAACAAATGGGGACACATTAGCTTTGTCTGTTCTGCAGGAAGGTTAGATGAAGATGCTCTCTTGGTCATCAGAAAAAGTTAAATTTATTTCAGCAATAACTTGCTAAGCACCACAAACCTCCTGAAGTATACTCTTCCTTGAGGACTGGAAGACAGGGCGACAGAAAACGTATTCACTCTAATTCTTTATTTGTTTTATCTGGGAGCTGAAGCAGTAGGAAGAATTCTGAACTTGAAAGTTGGAGAATTGGCTCAAATTTTGTCCCTGTCATTATTTGTTGTGAGATGTGGGATGGATCACAAGCCTTCCCTGATCCTTCTCTTTGTAGAAGTGAAAATTTATATGAATTATCTACCTCATGGGGTTATGTTAATGATCAAGTGAGAATACCTGTGAGCTACCTTGTAAGATTTCTAAAAGTTAAACTCCCATAGCGCAAGGTAGGGGAAGACCTTTTCAAAGATGCAAAGATGTTGGGCAGCTCTGAGGAGCTGAGGGATGTCTGGGTGAAAGGCCTCTTGGGAAGAACATCTCAAGGTCCAGGTCCATGATGTTCCTGCAAGGCCAACTCCAGCCTATCACCTCATGGCCCCAGTGCTCTGGAATGACACTCAGAGGTGTACCCCACTGTTGGCTGTCCGAGGCCTTGCAGACATTTCTGTAGGTAGGAAAGAAGCCAGGTCTAATAACCACACACAAAGAGGAAAGGCCAGGGTTGCAACTAGAACTAGGGCTGACCAGGAAATAAACAGACAGAGATGTTTCAGCCAGGAGAGGCTGGTACTATATGGCCCCTGAACTTTGTGATACTCAACTCTTCTGTTTTACAGTCATGTTTAGAAACTGCTTAAGTAACTGCCTGGAAACAGTCCTCATTTCCATTCTCATTGTGTGAGTACCATTGAGACATGGTACAGGCCTACCAGAAGGGCTAAGGATGCAGAATTATGACTTTCAAAGTCTTTTCCCAAACAACAAAGGAACCATAAAAACCATCCGAACAAATGGAACACAAACCTCATCAAACAACTGTCTGACAGGGTGAAACACAAACCATCCCCTTTGGCCCATCCCGAGACTCTCAAACAAATTAGACTAAGGGCTGGGAAGATGGGTGGATGGATGGATGGATGGATGCATCCGATTGCCTGGCTTCGCTATTACTGGCTAAGAGGAACCAAAGGACAGGAAGTGTCCTTGTGGAAAAATCCACGTGCACATGCACATTCCTCATGGCTCTGGAAAAGTCAGTTCAGTTTTTAAAATTATAGTCTTTAGCAATTGGCACGAAAAGCAAAACAGAGCATGAAGGGGGTGGGGCCAGAGAGAGAGGCAGGGAATGGGATGAAGAGACACAACTCAACTCCTTTAAGTTGTATGTTTTTTATTTTTGACCCATTTTTTCCCCCTCTATTTACTGAAAACAGATTCTTCTTGTTTAAAAAATGGTAAGGCAACAAGCAGTGGTTATGATCTTGGAATGAATCTGATGGTTTTATGGGCACTTTCTGAGGGGGCCTTTGAAGCCCCAAGAAGTACATACAGCTTGAAGATAAGCCTCAGGCAAGGGGAGAGTCAGCTAAGATTTTCTTTGTCCAGGAACATGTTGCTAGCTTGATCTCCTGTCACTCATTTGGGATCAGCATTCTGTACTGTGTTGCACGCATGGAGTACTGGGGAGTCATTTAAATGGAACATTCATGTCCTTACATTTAGACATGACACAGTCCCTAAGACTGTCAGGCTTCGTGGTCATGGAACAAAGACATGGTTGAGATGTCAGTGGCTACTGGAGACTAAGGAGAGAAAGGTAAGTAGCATTGGGGGCCTGTGAGACTTGAGGGAGACCTAGATGGAGGGGTGAGAGTGAGCCATGCAGCCAGGAACAGAGGTGGGTGTTGTGGTGTTGTGTTGTGGTACTGTGGGAATGGCTGGCATAGAGGGATGTACAGAGAGAAAAGGACAAGAAAGAGAGGATTGACTGACCATTCAGGACCTTGTGGGAGCTAAGCTAGCATCTTTGTGGCCTTCATGATTCAAACAATAGGGCCTGGGATGGTTCCCAGTGTTTCCTGACTCTGAGGAAATAGAGCAAAGACTCATACATTCCAGGTGCTGTGTGGAAAGCACAGAGGACACAGAGGACCCAAGGTGGTGGAGGCCATTTTTATAGGGACAGAACAGAAAGTGGAGTGGAAAGTGATGTGTCTTAGGGTTACTATTGCTGCAGAGAAACACCATGACCAACGAGGAGGCCAGGGTTTATTCAGCTCATACTTCCACGTAATAGTCTCTCACTATATAAGTTGGGACAGGAACTAAAACAAGGCAGGAAACCTGGAGGCAGGAGCTGATGATGCAAAGGCCATGGAGGAATGCTGCTTACTGGCTTGGTTTGCGTGGCTTGCCCAGCCTGCTTTCTTATAGAACCCAGGACTACTAACCCAGGGATGGCACTACCTACAAAGGGCTGGACCCCGCAGCTCCTGACATCGATCAGTAATTAAGAAAATGCCTTACAGCTGGATCTTACGGAGGCATTTTTCTCTACTGAGGTTCCCTCCTTTCACATGACTCTAGCTGTGTCAAGCTGGGTATGAAACTAGCCAGAAGAGGAAGTAAAGAGGAGGGGGACCCACTAAATTCTAGGAACGGGTGTGTGCCATCTGACTTCAGAAGCACTGGCAAAATCTGCCTTGAAGTTTCCAACCTACCCTGTCTCAGAAAGCTGTCATCCTGGGTGAAAGCTATTCCATAAGGCCACTCAGCAGGTGTCTTCAGCCAACATGTGGCTCAGCCAGTGGAATCAGAGATGAAAAACACAGACTTCTCTCCTGTCAGCCTTCTTGTTCCCCCTGCATACATGGAAATCCTTCTCATGGCCCCTAAATCTGCAAAGCAGTGCCCATGCCCCTTTATCACCCAAGCTAATGAATGCGCTACAAAGATGCTGCGTGCAGGAGAGACATCTTCATGTAAGACTGAAATTAAAACCAGTGTTTTGAGAGCAAAGTGTGAAATCAGGAAAGGCCGTGGCCAAGAGCATCTTGCCTTGTATGCTCTTAGAACTGGAGAACTTTGGAGCTAAGAATGAAATGTTTAAGTGGACACAGCACAAGGACCAGCATGACTCACATTTTAGAAACAAAACAAAACAAAACAAAAAACCCAAAAAAACCAAAACATCAGTGTTCAGACCTGCACTATTGTCACACATCTGAAAAACACTTGGAGCAGAAACATGCTGGTCAATTTGTCAAATATGCGTCCTCCTCTACTTCTCTCTATCCTTCTTACTCTCCTTTTCCCTTTTCCTACCTATTACCTTATCATTCACTAATTCATGCTTATTGTCTGTATTCCACACATGAGCACCAGGTCCTCACAGGCAAGGAGCTTTTATGGTTCGGAGTGTGTGGCGATGCTGAGAACAGTGCCCTGCACATGGTAGGCATGCAAGAAATCCACATGGAATAAATGAATGAACTGGATCGACAGTGTCTTCTTGCTAAATACACACAATCCCTGTTGTTTTCCACTAGCAGAAAGGAATCCGAGACTCTTACTTTCTTGAACTAGGTCTCTAGCTAATTCAGGCCTGTGGTGACGAGGATTATAGACTATGTCAACACTGTCTGGGCAGCAGGCCACCTATTTTGAAATGGAAGCTGAAAGCGTGTCCCTTCAGAGAGGTCAGGAGCTGGATCAACAGGGGACAGCACATAGGATGGTGGTCCCGTAAGGTTGTATCATCTTGTGTGGTCATCAGCATCTTAGTTTGTGGAAGCACATTCTGACATTTACACATGTGGATAAATAGAGGTGAAATGGAATTTATCAGAGTTGTTCCCATCGTTAAATAGGGCAATGCCATTGCTAAAATGAGGGAATGGCCTCCACGTGAAAACCTAGCAGTGTGGTCAGCTCCAGTATCAGTCACACTGACAGACAGACCTACAACCAAAGCCTGCTGCACAGATTCCTGCAGACACTCCTGGCTCCAGAGCCTGATGCTGCCTGGCTATGGCCAACGCCAGCTAGTATATAATCCTCCCACAGGCTGTGGCACCTCCAAGCAGCCAAATGCACATGTACAGACGCCCCACGTGTGGCACAAGGAGTCTGCATCCTGACAGCTGGCTCAGGAAAAGAAAAATTTGAGGTGGCCAAAGACTCGGTGTCAAATATGTGACGGTTCAGGCCAGCACCCGAGGTGACGCTCTCAGATCTTCTGTGTGGTGGCAGATGAAGCTTTATCAGCAAAAAATTATGCCCTGATTCTGACAAACCCTCTTGCTACTTCAGAGAAGGCTGACACCCCCTGGCTTTAAGGAGTACTAAGATGACAAATCCTATTGTGATCCCTTTGCTGAGCAGCCACCATTGGGCTTTGCCTAAGGTTTCTGGTTTCAGGCAGTCCTGAGGTCAGTTTCCGCCAAAGCAAAGAGACCTGGGCCTCATGCCGGGGATTATGGGCTTTGCCAGCCATTGTGGATAATTCTGCTTCCCATCTATGGCGCCCTGAACAGTTTCTCCATTATGCAATGCTCAGTGTGGCTGAATGTGACACTAAATGGCCTCTTAGATTCCAAGACAGCCTCCCAGGGTAGAGTAATATGAGCTCTGAGCCCGTTGGAAGGGGAAGGCTTTTGCTGGCTATGACTACGGCATAGACACACCAGTGTTAAACCGGTCCTGGAAATATGGCATTCATTTCTGGAAAGACCTTGTTTTCTACTGATGCCTCCAGTCAGCTGTCTGAAATCCAGGTGCATCAGCCTTTACGCAGCTCTTTACTTTGTCATGACATCATCCCACAGCAATCAGCAGCATACAGAAGCCTCTCTTTCAGTCCCTTGCTACACTGGGCCCTGCTCTCTATGACTTGGTGGAAAAAGATGCACTCTCCTTGAAACTTCTCATTGAATTTCTGGTTTTTGTTGGGCAGACTGGCACCCTCTGTGCTGTTTATGCTTGGAAAACCTGGA